GTGTTCCTTAACCCCATAAACCGGATATGTGCCCTATATTCAGTATAAACGTTTTGTAGCCCAGTCTTTATCATTTCTTGTGATATATAGGATATACCTGTAATTAGTAGATTCAATTAAGGGCTGACGGTCAATCGAAACATATTTGATGAAGTATGTTTTCTTGGTTTCGATCGCTTTCTGTATTCGTGTGCTCCATAACCCCTTTAACCGGATATATGCACTATATTATATATATATATATATATATATATACGTTGTATTGCCAAGTATTTAGGTTTTCTAGTTATATAAGGGATAATTTTATACCTGTAATTAGGTAATTCAAGGGTCCGATGGTCGATCGAAGCATGCTTGGTGAAGTATGTTTTAAAAGTATCGACCGTTTTCGGTATTTGTGTAACCCAATAAACTGGATCTCGGCACTCTATTCACTATAAACGAGTTGTTGGCCAGTCTGTATTTTTCATGTTAAACGTAGGATATATCTGTAGATAAGGGGATTCAAGTTTACGATGGTCGATTGAAGCATGATCAGTGAAGTTTTTTTTCTTCAAAATATCGCTTGTTTTTGGTATTCCTGTGCTCCATAACCCCGTGACCCGGATCTGTGCACCAGATTCATCATAAATATTTTGTTTCTTAGCATATAAACTATCTTATGATATATAGGATAAACTTGTAATTAAGAGTTCCAAGGGTTCCGTAGTAGTTCGAAACGTGCGTGTTGGTTTTTTCCTTTGTTTTGGCCGTTTTCGGAATTCGATTACATTAAGCTTCTTGAAATAAATAGGTATCAGTGACCTAAGTAAATATTAAACTCCACCTTAATATATTCAAATGCAATTTAAAGTATATTCATGTATGTACACAATTTCGGGACAAATGGGGGAGGACCAAATTGTCATGTCACGAAGTACCTTAAATTTACACTATTATACCATTTGCATACGTTAGTTTGAAAATGGCAATTTAAGCTTACAGAATTTGAAAATCTTGCTATCGAATTAACCAAATTATTATATACAATGACAAATAGAGGTATCGAAGTTATTCAATTTGAATAAACTTGAATAGTGAATAGTGCAAAAAAACACTGTTCACTATTCATGAATTTTGAATAGTGAATAGTGAATAATGAATAGTGAAAAGTGAATACTTCAGTCCGGTTGCAGACCGACAAGAATGATGTGGCCTGAAACCTGATTGTGTAGGATGTAAAAGTTTAAATTTAGTCAAGTACTTGTACATGTTATTTGAGACATGCCTCATAGGCAAGTGGTCAACTATATTTGGTGTATGGAATGATTGAAAAGTTTACATGTCTGTCTGTCAAATTTCATTTGACTTTGACCTCATTTTCATGGTTCATTGGTCAATGTTAAGTTTTCCTGGTTAAGCCTGTTTCTTAGATACTGTAAGCAATATGTTAACTATATACGTGAAAGGAATGATTGTTAGGTGTTCATATCTGCCTGTCATGTATCATCTGACCTTGACATCATTTTCATGGTTCATTGGTCATTTTTCATGGTTTGGTTTGTTTCTTTAATACTATAAGAAAACGTCAACCATATTTTGTGTATGTAATGATTATAAGGTGTATATGTTTGTCTATCTGCCAGGGCTTATCTGACCTTGTCAAGGTTAGGCTTATGTGATACTTGTAGTTAAACCTTTATTTTTAAGACTTTCAATATCAAATCAATCATGGTTAGTAAAGCAGGCGAGACATTTCAACATGTGCACTCTTGCGCAAGTTACCATACATGGATTGGTATGGTCAGTCCTCTTTGTGGGTACACTAAATACAACTGATTCTGATCTTCTTCATTTAAAGTGAAGAAAACAATTATCATTCCTGAAATTTGATGACTTTTCCTCCAAATTTTCATAAATGTTGCTTTAGTTATATGCACCAATATATTGATGTGGACATTTGCTTCTCTGTACAAATCTTGTTACCATATTTATTTATCTCAGCTAGAGTATGATGCATTACTTTTCATATATTTATAAGCAAAATGCTTTTGGCTGGAATCTCCATTTACCACCGTGGTACTTATTACAGAAAAATGTGTCAAGTCTTAGCTAAAGGTGTAACATATATCTAGTGCTTTTCATTCAAGTCACAACCAAGTAACTAAGTTTAGTTTTTTGAAAAAAAAGAAATATATATGTTAATATTTATGAACAGTGAAATTTTATATGTCCCTGATATTTTCTTATACCCAATATGTATGAGAATCAAATTTCTCATATGCATCGTTCATATTGGTTAGTTTTACAATCAGAAGATCTGATATTCCTGCTTTATAAAAATTTATCATTTAATAAGGACATGGACAAAATAGTACTGTAATTATACCTTCATCAGTCTGTTTGTAAAATGAAAACGGTTGAACAGGCTGACAATGTGCAGATCCTCATAAATAAGGCACCAAGTCGAACATAAGTACATAATAAACTGATAACTAAAGATAAGTTGAACATACATTAAGTATCACCAGTCAGTGATAGTTATATGCATTCCATCAGTCAGAGACTTATACAACCAATATTTGACGTCTCTGCATCTGATTCAGTATATTTCAATTTCATTGATTAGTAGTTGCTTATCCCAAACAACGAATGCTTATATTTATATTCAGGATTATTTCATTTTCATGGCATAGTTATAATACTCATTCTAGTAGTAATATTGCACTACTCTTGTCCATCCATCCATCCGTCCGGCTGTCTCTTTACTTGTCGACACCTTAAAATTTCTAATAATCAGACCTGCCAACTATCCAGATTTATGGGGAATATCCCCATGGGAGGAGTTGGCCTGACTATTCAAATCCTCTTTTATATGAACTTTAAGCCTCAAAACAGTTATTCAAATGAGTTAAATGGCATGTAAGTAAATAAATATTCATTCAAAATCATAGAACATCTTAAATCTTAATACATATACTTTAGACATGTATAAAACATGCACTTAGTTCTCTTTTGCTTATAATCCCCCATGGAGGTTTTGAAAAGTTGGCAGGTTTGAATATGTTTTTGTCTAAGAAAAATTTTCGTCACAATTTTCTTTGGTACTTTGAACAGAAGACCTTCATATTTAGTCAACAGCTTGACACTGATCAGTTGTAACGGATGGGAAATTTTCGGATCTGTCAAACACCTACTTTCTGTTTGCTTATACCAAGGATTTGTATAGCTACAAATCCTTGCTTATACTTTTTCAATGTGTTTATTAAATCTGTGACTCAAAATGAACTACGGATAAAAAAAACTTTGTATTTGGTCAGCAACTTGACACTGACGAGATTTAACGTGCGATCGCTTTTCGGATCTGCAAACACATACTTCCTGTTTTCCGATGCTTAGAATTACGAATGGGGGTATGCTTAGCACGACATGTACACCTTACAGTTCATCCAACATCAAATATAGTTAACTTGTAATTGCTTGTAGTATCTGAGAAATGGACATAAACATGACCTGCTGATTGTGATATTCCCTCTGACTCTCAGCAAAAGAAGAACGCTGTGATGTAAAAGCAGACACTGAACCTGTATATTTCGGGGGTCTAGCTGAGAACAATTCCGCGTTAATGGCATGCACCATTTCTACCGTGTTGAAGCTGGCCGAGATCGCTTTTACAGATTTATACCCCCACCCCCCAAAAAAAAGAGATCGTACTGACACTTGTTTTAGACAGCATTTCAATCTCAAAAAGCTTAGTCTTTTATATATATGTAACAATAATTTCAAATGACCTTCGTCAGGAATGATAAACCAGAGACATATATATATATACACATGTTAGGGGAGGGTTGAGCGCTCGCAAACATGTTTAACCCCGCCACATTCTTTATGTGCCTGTCCCAAGTCAGTAGCCTGTAGTTCAGTGGTTGTCGTTGGTTCATGTCCGTCTTATTTGTTTTTCGTTAATTGCTTTGTTATAAATTAGGCCGATCGTTTTCGCAATTTAATTGTTTCATATTTTTCATGTCGGGGCCTTTTGTAGCAGACTATACGGTATGGGTTTTTCTCATTGTTGAAGGCCGTACGGTTGCTTATAATTGCTTATATCCACTTTATCTGAACTTTGGTGGATAGTTATCTCATTGGCATTCATACTTCATCTCCTTATTTTTATATACATATGTGTATATATGTCTCTGGATAAACTCAAGGTATAAATCAAATCGTTGGTTTTCTCGTTTGAATTGTTTCGCATTTATCATGTCGGAACCATTTATAGCTGTTTATATGGTATGGGTTTTGGCTCATTTTTTAAGGCCGAACTGTGACCTCTATTTGTTTGCATCCACGTCATTTGTAACTTCTGGTTGATAATTGTCTCATTGGCTATCATGGTCATTTCAAATAGCACGATGTCCTGACCTTAAGTTAGTCAAAATGATTTATACATCAATGTGACCCTATTAAACATTTCTGTATACTTTTTTAAAGGAATTATTGACTTTATGACTTTAGGACAATTGTTTATACATTTGTAAATCTCTGAACCATCGGTGCAATTTCATTAAAATACTGTCCTTTAATTTATCAAATATGTTGTCACAATACGTGTTTAATTGTATGAAGTATATATTCTTAAGTTCTATCTACAAGCATCACAGAAGCAAACTTTGTAATACTAAAAGTATCAACTTGATTGTAGCTATCCAAGAAAAATTGGGAAAATTTGGTATCAATTTAACAGTTTGGTATCGATTAGACTCCTGTTTTTTTGTCAGGTTGTTGGACTACACGGTAAAACAGTGAATCACTTAGAGATGTTTCATATCTGTTTTATTTCATACTGTAAACATTAAATGCTCACGATCTGGAGGTAATAATTTAAATGTTAGTCTTGCCCCCAATACCGTGTTGTACCTTCCTCTTCCTGCTGAGCGCGTCGGTTAAAATTACTATTTCAAACCTTAAATAATTCCAATTGGTCAAGCTTCTGATTTGCATATTCATTAACAATTGAAACAAACACTGGTACACTTTATTCTGTATACTATACACATTATGTCTTATAATACTTTTTCAGTAGAGAAACATTTTGTTTTCGTGGAAAGGTCAACGTTTAATGATGATAACCTTTATTTTTTATATGGCAGCTATGTTTACGATTTTTACGGGAAACTTGCACAATGATCGCACAAAATAAAAGTAACGATAAGAAATCAATTTTATACAACTTCACAAATATAACGCAGGGCTATTCCAACTTCTGTATCTACGTATTTATAGTGGTTATCTGGATTTAAGGATAAACAATCTTGTGATTCATGCATATTATCCATCTGAGTAGTAGGATCCCAGTCAAAAAATGTGATTTCCTTTCCATCCTTTCCAATAAATGTACCTTCTACAACTTCATCTGTACCGTCAATATAAACATATTCATTTACTGAAAAATACAGAATTGATCGAATTAAAAACAATGATTCGTACAAGATTTGCAAAAAATATGGATACTTACTATGACTGGATTGATAATGTTTATAATAACTCTATGTTTATTTTTCGATGGACACACGATTACTTTTGCAACCACTTCGTATATAACTCTTCAGGTTGAATTTACCTCTCTCAGACAGAACACGTAGACATCATTTACCATCGAATTAGCCTCTTACAAGATCGGATTTAGTTATGTATAAGCATAAACGCATTTTTTGAATAGAAAGGGAATTGTTTAAGTGACTGGATGCAGTTTCATATTGTCTTGTCATTTTCGCTATTTTGAGATATGTTTTAGAAAAAAAATATTTTCTTATTATACAACTACGCATGTTTGTCATTCAAAAATTGTAAGTTAGCCGACCCTTTTCAGCAGAACAGGGTATCATGTTCTGGTTTTGTCTATTTTCTTTACTGTTATATATTTTGACTTTATCAATAAACATGCATTTTGAAATATTACAGTTCAATTCATACACATGCTGATGCATAAACATTGAATGGGAGACGAATCATTCACTCTCACCCCATATGGAATTTACTGACCCCATATATATCGTTTTAGGTCACTAACACACCATGTAACTAATAATATCTTTTCGCATTGTTCGTGTATTTCGTACAAACAATTATGCTTTGAAAAATCCAAATTTTGTTCATTTGAGAAAAGAAGTGAACAATATATCTTTAAATATGCATAATTTATATAAATATATATTAATTTTTATACATAATTATCCTATGATATACATGCACAATAATGATATGTTTTATGAAAATGCCTTCAACACCAAAATGTAGCGCCGAATACATTTTTGATGTAATGGAAATATGTAAAACTCTAAATTTCAATTTCCAGTAGGATTTGACATATTTTTATCCTACGAGTGAAACAGATACAGAGGATAACCCTTCCCCCAATTATCGCATCAAACTTTGGTGGGAAAATCACTTTCCAAAGCTCAAAAAAACTTGAGCGACACCATAGGCACTTGTCTCTGAATTTTTGTTAACCTATATACATGTACCTTTATATAAAGGTATAAGGGTATAGAAACTCAGATACATGTATCTGTGAGCGACACCTGATACAGAATTCCAAATCGAAAAAAAATGTCTCATTCAATGTATATGATTTTGAGCAAATTATGTTTTTTTTCAAAATTGAAGACATGTGATTCTTTTAATCCAAGTAATGTGAATACATGTAGCATGGATGATCATTTAATCTAAAGACAACTTCATAATTTCTATCTATGTTTCTGATATGGCTTTGACGTCTGACGGCCTTCTTTATGACTTGCTTTAAAGCAGTCAGACGTCAGGCAAATGTAATACACATATTTTCCACATATCAACCTGGATGTTTCTGTTTACAGATACAATGCGTATACAACCTATATTTGATGATTAAGTTAGGATTCGTCACAGTTCCTTCCAGATTATGACGTAATGAATTAACACCGTCATAAGAAACTGCAAGTTTCTGTATACTATTTTTTACATCGGATGTGACCTTGAGAGGTCATACCGATGTTATGTTGCCGCAGAAATTTCTGCACACGTCCCTTGCGCTTTTGATTGATAACCGAATGTTTTTCGTATAAATACGCGGATATCATCGAGTGCTAAATAACATTCCTTATCGCTTGTTATAAATTCATTTCTTCAATACTCATGAAAATATTTTTAAGGAACATAAATAAATAATATGAAAATGTTTTGTCGTGAGAAATACACATATATATATAATAATATGTTTAAATATTTTAAACATTCGTATATTTACATACTAAATAATCTACCAACCAGTAAACTTAATAGTATATATATATATAAGTAAACAAAAATTCATTAATAGTTATGCACACGTACCGAAAAATTGTGTTTGCGGATGAATATGTCATTTATTATGGGCCGGCACTAAGCCGGTCCATTATATGATATGGGTTTGAGATTGTTACATGATTTTCTGCGGATCTATATTATTATTTTCTGTAAATGCAAAATTAAAAATTTTAGGTAATTGAAATAAATACATTTTTTTTTTATTAATTCTTATATAAGAAGAAGATGCAAAAAAAAACTTAAACATATTTATAACAATGAATGTTCATTGTTTTAATATGCACAGAATGCGTGACCCATATTTAGGGAATTCCCAAACCAGGTTATTTTTAGAAATGTAAACAAGGTACCATGTTCTTACAACAACTAGTCGTCGGAACATGGGAAATGATTTATAGTTTGCGTTTTTTTCTCAAAATAGTTATTTTGTATTCTATTTTGATTATTATGTATACAGTTTTCATCATTTAGAAAAATAATCATAATAAAGATATCTTTACTTTCAACGTAAACGATCTCGGGTTTTTTTATCATGTTTATAGGTAACATGTTTCAGTAACTGAAAGTGATTTTCAAACCTCTCAAATATCCACTTGGTGTTTGTTAATACTTTGCAATTTTACTGCAACCAAACAGAAATGAAAACATTTCGTCAAGGATTTCTCAGATGTTACGAAGAGAATAATTTGCTATACTGTCTGAAGTTTTCTGATTTTAAGTTGTAGACTAGTATGTAAGCAGTGTTTTAGTCTGTCGTATACCCAATGAAAATATGAAGGGATATGGAGTAAATGTACATGAGACAATATTAATATCAATACATGGTAAAACCCCAAAATGGAACGTTTTTATTGTTGTCCTTCATCTTCAAGTCACCATGAGGCATTCAACAATGATCAATATTTCTCATAACTGGTAGTAAGTTCAAGTTGACCCCTCGCATCAGTTTGAGCAGAATTCATTGTTAAATATCATACAAAGCCACATTAATATTTTTATGAGTGTTTGTTGTTACTTTTAAATATCCGACCGAAACCGAAAAGAAATGAAAACATTATGTCCAGGATTTCTTAACCTTTACTGAGATTAATAATTTGACATTTGTTTGCTTTAAGATTTTTATATCTTTTGTCAAATGAAGTTGGGGAAGGGATATAGTGCTTCATCTGTCCGTCACAAAGTTAAAGTCCATCTATATGTGGAAGTATAAGTCATAGTTCATGAGATTTTGTTCATAGATGCGTCTTGAATAACCAAGGGGTCCTGATAAAAATAAGTTAATCTTGACCTACATTTTATATATGAGTGACTGATTAAAGTTTGCGATAGAGTCCATATCTGAGATACAACTCGTGGGGAAATAATATTTTGTTAGTAGAAGCGTCTTTAATAGTCAGGAGGGTCCTAAAAAAATGTCATCTTGACATAAAATTCATGGATGAGTAAATGAGGTGAAAGGCTGCACTTAAAAGATATTCAATTTCACCAACTGCACAATTAAGTTATATTTTATAGCATTATCATAACTAATTGGATCGAAACAGTTCTGGCAATTGAGGATTCAACTCAATATACAGATCGTTTATATAATATTTTGCAATTTTTTAACCACCAAAAACCTCCATATTTCCAGCCCAAAAATTTGGTGCGTGCACCATTTAACTCTCTTGTATCATGTGTATTGAATAATTGTAAGGTGTACATATCTGTCTGGCAGGTATCATATTACCGCCTGTTGTTTATTCATCATCCAACATAAATTGCGGTCATCCGATGTTCAGTACTTCAGTACTTTGATTTAAAATGAAATTGACTTGAACAAGAAATGCATTACCGTAGATCGGGGGTAACACCAATGACACAACGATCAAGAATAAAAAGCCAAACACCATTGTTTTGGTTTTAGTTACATTGATGTTGAATGACCAAGTCCGGATTCTGTGATATTTAGAAATTAAGACTTCCCATAGAAATCCCGTTTGTTTAATAATAAATGCTTTATTAAAAGAGAGTAACATCAGTAATGACAATACTAATCTCCCCGAACCCTTATGAATAACTCAAAATATAACATAATATATATATAAACATCAGCTAACTATGCAAACAAATGGTGAAAAACATATAGATTAAGTGGTATGTACCATAAACATGTTTCCTTCTGGTGAACAAGACATATGTGTGTACTTTTAGAGAATTAAAATTTCTGTGATAATCATTTCCATGGTCTTAATTTTTGTATATGAATTTTATAATTAACTAATTTGTTCTTAAAACAAGAAATAATGATACTTTTGTTTGAACTGTTCTGTCTTTTCTATCTTTTTTCCTTTTATTTCTACAGGAATACTGTTCCAGAGAACAGTACCGGATTGAAATGCTTTTTCATAAAATTTGTTCTTGGACGTGGTATGAAAAGACAGTTATTATCTGTTGGTAAGATGCAAAATTTCCTATAAGCTATTTGGGAATAAGACACATTTAGTGATTTGAAGTTGCTGTCAGTTTATATGCAGCCCGGCTTACATATAAAATGATTAGGTTTTTCAAACATTTTTTGCAAACTTGTTATGTGACTTTAAACAAATCGCTGAACAAAAGACATTTTTTTTTCTGAGATTCACTGCAAAACAGCAAATTCAGCTGAATGCAATAATTTTTTAATTTTTCATCAAAAAAAAAAAATGATGTGAACGTAATGATCTGGCCCATATGATCTTAGTGTTAATCAAATATTCAGGTTGACATCATCACAAAAGCTTACTCAAAATTTCGCGTGTTACTTTCATCTTTATAAGGTAAAGAGCTAATTCAATAATCAATCAGTTCAGATAACATGTGATGTTAATTATGAATTGTTCATAATGTCAATACGTTTATTCTTGTTAGAAAAATAATATTACATAAAAATCTATATTATACAAATTCTCAGATATTATTGAATTGATAAAAAGAGATATTCCTATTATTTCGTCAAATTGATTTTACGAATGTTGTTAGAATTTTAAAAGCACGGATAGACGGAGATGTGGGGTATAGTATAATCATTTAGACAACAATCAAACGATCCCCCCCTCCCCAAAAAAAAAAAAAAAACTCAACAAACTAAGAAACAACAAAACAAATAAACTACAACAAACAATAACCGACAATTGCAATTCCGTTCCCGTTCTAACACTAATAGCTTATCGCTTGTCTAGAACAACACTAATGGCTTATCGCTTGTCTAGAACAACACTAATGGCTTATCGCTTGTCTAGAACAACACTAATGGCTTATCACTTGTCTAGAACAACACTAATGGCTTATCGCTTGTCTAGAACAACACTAATGGCTTATCGCTTGTCTAGAACAACACTAATGGCTTATCGCTTGTCTCTAGAACAACACTAATGGCTGATCGCTTGTCTAGAACAACACTAAAGGCTTATCGCTTGTCTAGAACAACACTAATGGCTTATCACTTGTCTAATACTCTTATTGCTTGTCTAGAACAACACTAATGGCTTATCGGTTGTCTAGAACAACACTAATGGCTTATCGGTTGTCTAGAACAACACAACAGTCACTTATGTAGAATAAATTTTCAATTTTTTTTTATTGTCTTTTAAATCATCTTTTTTTTATTATTTTGTTTTTTCGATTTGATTTTGCCTCCTCTGATCCGCGGTGTCGTCTTCGGATGTAACATTCTACAACTCGAGACTTAAACTTTTTGTTTCTCATAAACAGTAGCTTGTATATTTCATGCTATCTACTTAGTAACAGCATTGTATTTGAAAATAATTCTATTATTATTATTATTATTATCAAACGATCATATATAAGTCTAGTTATCACTACTAAGCTTACTTGTCATTATGACTAAGCTAGCTCTTAGTCATGACTTAGTAACTCGTTATGACGACTTAGCTAACCCAAGATAAACGTGGATTGTTAAAACGATTTAGCTTAGTCGTTATAACGAGTAACTTAGTACTGATACCGAGTTGGCTAAGGCGTTATAACAATTTACAAAGTCGTGATAACGATTTTAAATTGAACAACAAACTGACACTAACTGGCTTCCGTATACCTTTGCACATGTAACACACGTTTATTTTCTTTTCTAACTTTTTATGAAGATAGACATAACTTAAATCATCGGGTCTTTTGCAAAATCAGCATTACATTACCAATGTATTCTATATAAAATTGGATGATGTGGACGGAAAGATTGCCAATTGTGACCATTATCCGTCACATATCAACACGAGGTTATAAACAACTACGGCCATAAATGACGCTCAGGATAAAATTCAAATACAACGGCTCAAGGGATGTGAAAAATTTCAAACAAATGCTTGCATGAATTATTTTTTAAACATTATACTCAAGTGAATTAAGACAACTTGACGCTATTGTGTGAAGTCTCACTCGCACAAAAATGACACTCAAAAATGTTTGTAAACTTTTAGATAGTGTACCGGTAATAATGTTTTCTTCATTGTCAACCTGACCTAATGACCGTGTTAGAAACAGCGTAATTTTATGTGATAGATTATTATATAACTTAACATTACGGCCATTCTTGAAAAGACATACTTAACGATACAATTTGAAAGTTAATTAAATGCAACCATCGTATACTTACAACTCATATTGTCTAGCTCGAATATAACCATCGTATACTTGCAACTCATTTTGTCTAGCTCGAATGTAACCATCGTATACTAACAACTCATACTGTCTAGCTCGAATGTAACCATCGTATACTTACAACTCATATTGTCTAGCTCGAATGTAACTACAGTATACTTACAATTCATTTGGTCTTGTTCGAATGTAACCATTGTATACTTACTACTCATATTGTCTAACTATAAAATATCCATCGTATACTTACAACTTATTTTGTCTAGCTCTTGTACGATGAAATCATACTGATTTTGATTCTGAATTGTGACTAGTCCACCATTTGCTATAGCCTCACACGCAGATTTAGCATCATTCCATTGTAAGGTATCTGTATGTATTTTCACACATAAATCGGTTTTCCTGTTATAAGTGTACTCATCTGGACAATTTGCTGAAAAAAATTGACAGCTTTTAAAGAGTGTTGTACTTAAGCCAAATTCTGTCATTATGAAAGACAAAGTACTGCCAAAAAACTTCTGTCCTTTTATATATACCCGAGTTCCTTTCAAGATTTTAAATGTTACTTTTACTTTAATCTTTTATATATATTTTTGAAAAGGCCGGATTATTAGGTATTTCCACTTTTCTGTGGAAAGACCTATTGTATTTGTTCTGATTATATTTTTTTTTCTTCTGCCAAATTTTGTTCTTGCGATAAATTTTTGTTTTGCAATATGTCGCTTAGATATTTCTCATATTGTATCGTATAATTTATGCGCTTTTAAAGTTTACCCTGCTAAGCCAAACAATTTTCTTTGTAAGAGTTATCTCCCTATTCACTGTTTATCATGTGAGTGCATCTCCTTCGTAACAAATAAAGATATTGGCAAAATTCTTTTTCTTAATTGTGCGTTTCATCCTCAGAAATTTTTGCCTAATTTGGATCGAAGCGATTCGATGAAATTTTATAGGAGTTCTCTACCTTTATCAAATAAATTTGTCGTAAAGTTTTATTAACTCATAAACCGTAAGCCGTATAAACCTATAGTCTTTTTATTTGAGGTCCTTGGATCCTAACTTAAATAATGAGGTCAAGGTCAAAGGTCAAGGTCATGTTCTGAATTTTGTCTTTTGCTTGTGTTTGCATTTTCTCCGATATTTTTAATGTTATATATAAAAGAACTAGTGCAAAATGTTTGTTATATTGTGATGAAGATATGATTCATTTGGTCTGAGACAATCCAGCGACATCTTATTGGAGTTATTGCCCCTGAAATGTTTTATTTTAAGGTAAATTGATTATTACTTCATATTGGTAAATGATAAAGCCATAAGATCTTTTGCAAAATGTTGAGTGACATATGACCTTGAAAAATGTCAACCGGAAGTTACCTTGAGTGAACCGGAAGTAGTCATTTTTGCACTTATTTCATGTAAAAGTACATAGAAACCATATATTTTTTGAATGGTCATACATTTATCTATCATATGAGACCGGAAGTGACATTTTCTAAACCGGAAGTAGCCAATTATCTCCCTTTTTACAGGCAAAAGTATATATAAACCATATGACATTTTCTAAACCGGAAGTTGGCAATTATCTCCCTTTTTTCAGGCAAAAGTCTACAGAAACCATATGTTTATTGAATCAGTATGAAGAAACCTATGATTGGACGCCAATAGTAGCTTTGAGTAAACCAGAATTAGCTTCTCGTCAATTATTTGGAAAATTGATGTGGAAAGACCTTCAATTGCTCTTTGAAAAATTGGTTTTTAATTACTTTCATTTTTTCTTCAAGGTGGTGATGCAATTTCATCATCCATTTACAACCAAATCAATAACCGTGACCACGTGTTTGAAATTAGACGCACGCTTCGTTTTACATTCAGACCTTGAAATGTTGTTCTGATTCTTTGAAAACGGAACAAATGTGAGACACAGCAAGTTAACACAGATTTGTTAAGAAATGGAATATTTGTATTACATTCAAAGTGTACGGTAGAACATGTTTCTCAATAGATGGTAATGCCTCATTCCGATAACTGCCTGAAATGGATAAGAACAATGCACCCATTACCAGTTTCTAGTTTACTTGGATTACTCTCATTTACAAACCTCGTCAATACCACAGAAACTAGCAAAAAAAACCATATGCAATTTAAAATTATATTTCTTTGACCAAAATTGTAGCATTTGAAACGTTTCTGATATAACTTCAGCACAAAAGCTCATCAATGTATCAAAAAAGAAAGAAATGAAAACAACAAAAGACTACAAACAGAATAACAAGAGACACATTGAAGGTAAGATTCATGTAAAATGTTTAGTTTAATATATATTAAGTTCTTAAGTTTGAAAGATATTAGACATTACTTTGGTAACATCCGTAATAACGCCCCTCAAAAGATAATATAAGTTTGAAAACTTCCACTTTAATTTCGGTAGCAGTGAAGGAATTGATTGGTTTTTTTTTATCATAACTTCAATCGTCATGTCAAAAATATTAAGCCATCTACGAAGAAATTAGTATCAATCTTTTGTATAATTTTGGCTGCAGGATCCCAAGTATTGTATCGTTAACCAGTTATCTCTGCATGGGTTGCTCACCAAATTTTGTCAATATGATATAACGGTACTGTAAACGACTGTCATACAAATGGGAGGTTAAGCTAGCTATTGATAAAACCATGTTTAACCCACCATTTTCTTAGGAAAATGCATGCATGTGCCAAGTCAGAAATGTGGCAGTTGTTTTCCAGTCGTTCCGTTGTTTGATATGTTCGAATGTTTGGTAATGTCAGGTTTTATAGACTTCCGTATTTTTGTTAATACATTTTTTGTATGTACAGTCATGTATATACAATTATGTTACAGTACAAATTGGAATTCATTAAAATCCAGTACAAATCGGAATTCTAATTTCTACTAGTAGACATTGGGAAATCCAGATTTGTACTGGTAGGATTCTGGAATGGACTAGATTTTCAAGTAGGATCCAGAATATTACTTTAAAATATCTGGATTTTTTTTTTTAGATATTATGTTTACTGATGTTCTTGTTAAGAAGGAAAACAACAAAAATCTATCAATATTTTAATACATTTACAAATAAAATCTGGTAAAATACATATTGTTTCTTGAAATTCTTTGAAATGTTTTATTTATAATAATCTTTGTCGATATTTTGTTTACCTCATTTTGATGAGCCATCATTGTTGGCTTTACAACATAAACAACAAATTGTTTTTCATTTTGTGTACATTTGCAAACAGAAACCAACTGACAGTCATCACTGAAGTCTATATTTTTTTATCAAATGCTTGAATATGTAAAATTTCACAAAGCAATAAGGGGTCAATAGAACTGGATCCAAGGAAAACAAGATTGTGTGTAAATTAACAAGATTGCTTAACATTTGAGACATTAATCAGTTTAATTCAAAATTTACATGGTAGCAAACTTGTAATAAGTTTCCTTGCAAGGGATGTCTTGAAGCAAACTTGTTTATCATTTTCACCAAAAGTAGTGTCAATTGCCTGAATTCGTTTTTGGTTTTCAAATGTTCCTATTTTGCTCCTTCATACGTTTTAACATCCTTGTATGCACCCAAACACTTCAAAATTGCAGTGTTTTACTAAACGGATAAAACTGTTTATATCTGTCCAACTTTTTTTTAACACTAAAAATGTTCAAAACAAAATGAGCACTATCATGACTTTTATTACTTGTGCCTTGGGATTAGTATAAAATTATATTGTGTCCCAGGTTGTGCCAGAAGGCAGATTAGGGATAAATTGTAACAAAAAAGAGATGAGGCAAATTTCCGCTGTATTTGGTTCATTCACAACGTCAAAATTAGAAAGTTGTTAGAACTTGGTGGATTTCAATAACAAAGAGTCTACATAATATTTTTTTTTTTTAAAATAACGATTTTACATTTTTCCTTAGAATCAAGATTTGATTATAATTTTATTCATTTCTGACCAAAATCAAATTTTTTTTTTATTATTGTGCATTTTTTTATAGTTAATCATCTAGCACAATCAAAAATGCTACTGGTACGAATCAGGATGTCCCAATTTCTCCTAGTAGATATTGAAATTCCAATTTGTACTAGGATGATTTTGGATCTTACTGAATTCTAATTTGTACTGTACCATATATATCCGCTACTGACTTTTGACTTTAAAAGATGTCAAAATATAAATAGAACAAGAGTGCACACGCTGAAATGTCTCGCCTTCTTTACTAACCATTGATATTATGTTGATAGTCCTAAATATAAAGCTTTACTACAGCTATCACATAAACTTAACATGATCCAAGAAAATGAGGCCAAAGTCAGATAAAGCAAACGAGAAATACATGTACACCTGACAATCATTCAATACACTAAATATAGTTGACCTATAGCTATTTGCCAAAGTTTCGAAGATACAGACTTAACAAAGAAAACTAAACATTGACCAATGAACCATGAAAATGAGGTCAAGGTCAGATGAACCATGCCAGGCAGACATGTACACCTTACATATAATCTATGCATTAAATATAGTTGACCTTTTGCTTATAGAATCTAAGAAACAAACTTAACCATGAAAACTTAACATTGACCAATAAACCACCAAAATGAGGTCAAGGTCAGATGATACCTGCCAGACAGACATATACAGCTTACAATCCTTCCATACAACAAATATAGTTGACATATTGCTTATAGTTTAAGAAAAAAGAACAAAACACAAAAACGTAACACTGAGCAATAAACCGTGAAAATGAGGTCAAGGTCAAATAAAACCTGCGAGACTGACATGCACATCATAAAATATTTCTATACACCAAATATAGTTAACCTATTGCATATAGTATTAGAAAAAAAGCCCATAACTCAAAATCTTTACTTTGACCACTGAACCATGAAAATGAGGTCAAGGTCAGATGACACCTGCCAGTTGGACATGTACCCCTTACAATCATTCCATACACCAAACATAGTAGACCTATTGCATGCAGTATAAGAAAAACAGACCAAAACACAAAAACTTAACTATAACCACTGAACCATAAAAATAAGGTCAAGGTCAGATGACACCTGCCAGTTGGACATGTACACCTTACAATCCTTCCATACACCAAATATACTAGACCTATTGCTTATAGTATCTGAGATATATTGACTTGACCACCAAAAATTAACCTTGTTCACTGATCCATGAAATGGGGTTGAGGTCAAGTGAAAACTGTCTGACGGGCATGAGGACCTTGCAAGGTACGCACATACAAAATATAGTTATCCTATTACTCATAATAAGAGAGAAATTAACATTACAAAAAATCTTTACTTTTTTTTCAAGTAGTCACTGAAACATGAAAATGAGGTCTAGGACAATGGACATGTGACAGACGAAAACTTCGTAACATAAGGCATCTATATACAAAGTATGAAGCAT